AAACTTACGAACCATAGGTCAGACCCTTAGGGTCTTCCGACAAATTTTAATTAGGCGTGTTTTAGTTATTTTCTATTTAATTAACCCTAAACGATGTCGTTTTAGCCTTATAACTACCTTTTAAACAAATTTTTACACTTCACAACCTAACCCATTCACTTAAACTCTCAAATTCTCTCAAGTCTTCTTCTTCAAATGATCTTAAGAGCTTCAAGGTGAAGAACTAGGATTTCAAGAGCTTCAAAGTCTCATTCTCCATTGGTTTTGGACTTTTAGTATCAAGGTATCTGAGAATTCACAAATGGATACCTTTCATCTATTGGGTTTCAAAATAATCTCAATCTCCTAAATTGATTTCACCCGATTCTATTAGGGTTTCATGCTATTCTTTATAGATCCAATTTATTATGATTCAATTTTTAATATTGAATCTTATTATGCATGATTTGATTAAATTAAATGATTTTCAATTGGTTTCATATAGACCCATGCCTTCGTCTACCTTATGAATATGAATTCTGAATCATGCTTATGAACTTATGAATGATTTATTAAGGATTTATGCATGTTTTATGAAAAATAAAGATTTATGAACTATGGATGCCTTTGAGATAAGTATCAAGGATTTGTGAAAGGTTTTCTCACGTATGAATGAAATTATGATTTAGATGCTTAGAAAGGTAAGTGTCTTTATGAATATGTTATGAAATTATGGTTTTGAAATGAGCTATTCTAATATGAACTAATGAATAGATTGGTAGTCTTTAATTGTATCTTTCTAAGTATTTTGATATGATTATGTCTTTTTCGTTGGGATTTACTTAGCACCGAGAGGACATTGGAATGGAGGCCCTAATGTTAGTAAATGTTTGGTCTTTAGTAGCAATTCTCTTGTCTCAAATTGTTCCCCCATAGTATTATCTTAAATGACCTAGCTAGTGGATCCACCTTAGCAATATGAATAATACAAAAATTCTACCTTGGCAAGTAGATTCCCCTATTCGGTGTGAAGTTCATGCCGGATTAAAAGTTATAGCTCACATGGTCTTATTATTTGTTAACGGTAAATATCCCAAAAATTAACTATGTTTTCTTCAAAGGTTTTATGAACGTTTTCCTTATGATTTTAAGTATGCATTGACCTTATTTATGATTCATGGTTTCTCTTTAAAAGCTCTTACTATGTTTTAACTTGGTCATGCATATCATGTTTAAATTTTGTCATGTTGTCATGCCTATATTTTCATGCATTTCCCCATACTTTGAACATTCATCGTACTAATGCATATTTGTGCCTATATTGTCTCATAATATATATTCAACGCTCCTCCTCCCGGACATGCTTAGATCAGGATCGCGCAACTTGATCACTTAGATTGGTGAGTCCTCATGGCTTGGGGGGGAATCCATAGACACTTTAATTGATTTTATGGTCTTTCAGTTTCAGACTTGTACATGGGGTATGAGTTACGTCCCAACCACTCTTATGATGTTAGAAATGCTTATGTCAGACTTAGTAGTTTTCCGCATATTCTCATATGTACTATGTTGGTATCTTTTATGTCATTCTATGATTTGAGACTTATATTGATTATACCTCTTAAATTGTAATTTATTACGTCATGCTTATGTCAAATGACTTTCTTAGGATCTCTCGGTATCCTATTCACTATGTCACGTCTAGGGTGTATTTTGGGTCGTGATAGTTTGTTGTTTCTTCAAAAGAGACAGATTGTTCAGCCTTATATTTCAAACATTTTGGTTGAGCTAATTTGAGGTTGTGGAGTTTGGATGATGTTGAACTGTTGAGGCAGCTTCATTTAATTCATAAAAAGAACATTTTTGTTAAGGTAAGTTCACTCCAATTACCTCCCACATATTTTTGAGTTTTATGTCATTTTGTCGATTTTTTAGCCACAAGGTGGTGTTCGAATATTGTGGCTCTGGATAACCTAATTGTTGTGTTGTTGTGTTATACTTTGATGTTTATGTTAATGGTATTAATATTATGGAGGGATGGGATATTGCACTTTTAGGTGTCAAATATAGAGAATGTTGATTGAACGGTGTAAAGTGTCTTGTTATATTACCTCAGGAGCTCGTCGCTCTTATGATATGTTGATAGCTTATTCTTCTTGTTATTATATGCTGATTATCCAAAGATTGTTATGTTATTTCTTCACTTAAAGTGGGCTGGTTCTTCCAACCATGTTGATTTTCGCACTAATTGCATTGTGACCATTTAGCATGATCCTAATGGCCTATATATATATATATATATATATATATATATATATATATATATATATATATATATATATATATATATATATATATATATATATATATATATATATATATATATATATATATATATATATATATATATATATATATATATATATATATATATATATATATATATATATATATATATATATATATATATATATATATATATATATATATATATATATATATATATATATATATATATATATATATATATATATATATATATATATATATATATATATATATATATATATATATATATATATATATATATATATATATATATATATATATATATATATATATATATATATATATATATATATATATATATATATATATATATATATATATATATATATATATATATATATATATATATATATATATATATATATATATATATATATATATATATATATATATATATATATATATATATATATATATATATATATATATATATATATTGTCATGATTTGACCTAGAGCCTTGTCCTATTGAGTTGTCTAACACCCTAAGATATAATGGCTATCAGTGACACTCTAGTCCTTGCTTAGTGGCTTAGAAAAGCATATTATTATTGTGTTTTGATCAATTATGATTACTTGTTATTATTATGATATTTTATTGTCTGGCTGTCACCTATGAGCTTGTTTTGACCTCAACAGACACTAACACTGCAGGGTTCTTGTGCGTACAAATTGATTGTTATACCGTGCCTATAGGCTGGATAAACCATGTCTATGGGTCGGGTAGACCGCACCTATGGGCTGGGTAGACTGTGTCTATGGGCTAGGTAGGTCGTGTCTACGAACTGAGTAGACCGTGCCCGCAGGCGGAGTAGATCGTACCTACGGAATGGGAAGGTTGTATCTACGGGGAACATATATATATTGTACCATGGAGCCTTAGAAATGCATTGACTCACGACATATGACTATTCTAACAATTCTGATCATATTATCAGTGAAATCCAGGTAAGGGGGGTTACTATGGGTAGTTAGAGACTATTTATGCTCGTTAAGACTTATAGTGATTGTGTGTTGTTTGTACCTGCTGTGTCATATTATTGCTTGGTATGTGTTGATATTGTCTTATTGTCCGGAGTTAAGTTGTTGTACTTGTATTTCACCCCGCCCCTTTCGTTCAATCACTATACTTCATTTTCAGCTTTAATTTGACTTATATGCTCGGTACATTATTTTGTACTTATGCCCCTTGCTTAGGGGAGCTGCATTCATGTATGTAGGTCGTGAACGACGACCAGATAGACCTGTCAAGTAGCATAGCTGCCTATCCAGCTGACTGGTTGACTTTTTTCTTTCAGGGGTTGCCAAAGTCTCGGAGGTTTGCTTGTTTTGCTTCTTATAGTTTTTGGGTAGGTCCGGGCCCTATTCCGTCAAAGTATTGTGTTCATAGAGGCTTGCAAACTAGTGTGTTGGGTTGTTTAGCCACGTTATTGGCCATGTTGGCATTTTTTTCTGGTTGGTTGATGTTCGATAGTTGTTTGAGATATTGTTTAGATATGTACATGTTTTTAGCTTCTATGTATAGAGATCATGGCGGCTTTGGTGGCCCACTTAACGTTTATACTTTCCTAGATATCATGGTGACCTCGACGGTCCAAAGAGGCTTGCGTGCTAACTAGTTATTGCGTTATATAAATTTTTGGGAGTAGCTATTTTCTTTGTAGAGTTGTTGACAAGGGCCTTGCCGATCGAGGGCTTATTTTTAAGCAGATATATAGTTTTTTGTTTTCTTGACAGTGTGTAGCTTCCATGCGCCAAGTGGTTAAGCAGGGTTCACTCAGGACTATGATTTACCATTAGGTTCCAGTTGTGCCCCTCGAGTTTTAGGCATGACACATTTGTTTAATACATTGAGGTAATATATATATATTACTCCCTCCGTCCCATTTTATATGATGTACTTTGATTTGGCACAAACTTTAAGAAAAATGGAAAGACTTTTAAAACTTGTGGTCCAAAATGAATGATAGAAATTTGTGTGGTTGTAAATCATTTCATTAAGGGTAAAAAAGACATTTTATAGGCAAATTGTTACTTAAAATAGAAATGTGTCATTCTTTTTGGGACTGACTAAAAAGGAAAGTAAGTCATATAAATTGGGACAGAGGGAGTAACAATTAGACTTACTAATATACTGAGTGATGTGTGGATTTGTTCACTAGTTATTTACAAATTGAACTCAAATCGAATAACTAAAATCTTAAAATTTAAAATCAAAACTAATCGATCCAATCGAAAAATCAAAATTCAAATTAAAAAAAATTAACTTTAGCTGGTTTTTTCGGTCTGAATCAAAATATGTCCAGACTTACTTTTATCTATATCTTCTGATCTAAAACATGTCATGACGAAAGTTGAAATTACGAAGTTATTAGAAATGGAAAGAAACATTTTTTTCAAAGAAGACTAACTAAACAATTAGGACAACTAAATTGAAATGTGAGTATAATATATGTATATTATAAGAAAAAATGAGTAGCATAGTCGACAGAGAATTTTATGTAAATCTAATAAACATTTTCTTTTGACATTTGACTGTCAAAAAAAATTGGCGGAGATGTTGTGTTGACCAGATTAATGATTAATCCGTTGATATACACATGAATTAATTACATGTCATCTGTAATTATAATTACGTATGGCAATACATTTAAAATTAATATCCTCCTATAATTTCTCCATCACTCCACAATTACACTCAACATTTTCAGCCATTTTTTATGCATATACTAATCAAAAAAAGGGGAAAAAAATTGATTTCTTATTTCAAATCAAGGTTGATGTTAGAGATTATGGAATAAAAGTATTTGATGTTATCATTGCATTATCAATTTAGTTTCGTATAACAAGGAGTAGGATCTTCAATCAAGGTTAATCATATTTCCTATTTGAGTTTTTTAATTTGTTGGATCTCATCAATCTGGATGGCTATTTTTCACTTTGCTGAATTTTGGTGTATGGATAAGTAAAAAAAAGGGAAATTAATTAGAGCTTTTTATAGAGATGATAAAATGATTCTTTTACGGTGTTTTAGAATTCAATTTTATGGGTTTTTTTGGTTTACTATTGGTATCTGATCTTCATATTATAACTTGAATATATCTAAATCGGACACTGCAAGCTCCATTTCAGGATGCGCTTCCAACATAATTTTCTTCATTCTAGGGCTCCAACCGAGACCTTGGTTATGATCTTTCATGATAACTTTGAGATTGGGCCTTTTCATTCTTTGAATTTATCCTCCTCTTCTCGATTATGATGGAGGTAAATCAGAATTTAGATTGCGCTATATTTCCTTTATATGTGTAACACTTATCTTCTACTAAAAAATTGAAGGCTTTTTCTGTTTTCTTCTTTTTATTTTTCTTTCTTTTTGAGGGGATTAATTCATTTCAAATGATGTTTCTGGTTCAAATGTTGTTAATGAACCACGTATGCATTTCTTTTTGCCTAAAAATGGTAATATGTCTTTGTGCAGATGACATCAATTGGTGCCTTATTTTGAAGAAATGCACTTGTAAAAATATATAATTTGGAGAACTAAAACAGTTGTAATCAGAGTGCCTGATTTAGATGGAGGGGAAGCAGCATACACAAAGCATTATCGCCAAGCTTATGGGACTTGAAGAGCTTCCACATAAGCTGCCTCTCCTTGATAATAAGAAAAGAAGAGTGTTCTCGGAGAACTATCTTCAGAAAACCGCTTCAATAGGTTTACGAGAAAAGAGCTCAATTTAGTTGGCCGTTCTACTAGAATAAACACACCAAAATACCAAAAAGTTGTAAAGGTATTCAAAACTCAGATACCTACCAGTATATCTACTGTTGGAGATACTATGAGATCACTTCAAAACATAAAGGTTAATGAGTCTCTCGGTCTTAAGGCCGAGGCGGCAATGAGGCTACGTTCCTCAAGTTTACTAAATAACACAAGAGAAGATAAGTTCCTTCATTCCTTTGCAAACAGGTCATTTTTTTCCAAAGAATTGAAGAAACAAATCATTGATGAAAGATGGAAAGCAACTCAGGATATTGAAGTAGGTTATAGAAACCACACTCTTGGAGATACGAATGTTCTGGCTGAGTTGGAAGCAAGGCCACAATGTATGGACTCTAAGCATGAGAAACAATGTTTTTCGCACATTAGAAGTTCGTGCTCATGTAGTCCTTCGTGTATCAGCAGCAAGGATGGTTCAAAGTATGAGCACAGTAGGCTTTCACCACTTGATTCTAGAGTAACCTCTGGAAGTCTTAAGAACAACATTGGCAATAAAGCATCTAAATATGGTTCTCATCTGAGGAAAAAAGAAAATGTTGATGGAAAAGATTCCAAGCTTTCTTACCTAAAGCAGAAAGTTGTTCTAGAATGTAGAGACTTGAGTTTTATTCTTGATCAGTACTCATCTGGTTCCATTAGTCCTTGTATAAGCTCAACATATATACAACCAGCTTGGGGAAGTCAATAAGATGATTTATGATGAAAAAGAGATTATGCTAGAGAAAAACAGTTTGTATAGGAGTAGCAAACATGCTTCTGAAGCTCCACACTGCTCAAATATAAGTCTAGGTAATACAGTGGCCAATGCAAATGCAGGGAACATCAGAAATTCTTCCAGGACCACTGATCAGTTGCAGTCTGAACCAAATATAAGTCATTCATATATAGAAGGTGGCACTACTTGTATCATATCTATTGGACAGGTCTGTTTCCTCGTGCTACCATTTAAATGACTAACAATCTCCATGGTATTTTAACTTGCTGTTAGTTCCTGTGAATTGATTCACCTAGGTTTATTTCTATATTCAAGTCATTAAACCTTTTTGTTATATAACAAGTTACTTGCATTTCTTTATCTGTTGATATTTTAGAACCAAATGATGTCTTTTTATATTTCCTTATCTCTTGATATTTTAGAACCAAATGACGTCCTTTATTTTTTATTCAAGAATTGGTTGTAGGGTCATGCATATGAATTCATAGGTTGTTGACTTATTCCAAAGAAAAGGTTCAACACACGTTTTTACCTGCTGTATTTTCAATTTGTACGAAACCCTGTGATCTGAAGTACGATCCATCCAACGTCAAGAAAACTGGATCAAGTTGTAGCCATATTCTTAGCATCTAACAAGTTGAACTTCAGTCGATTACAAACTGGACAATATATGTAGGATTATAGGCAGATATGTCTTCGAAAATGACGACCAATCTCCAGAAAGGAAAAGGAAAAGGACCTTTTGGTTGCTTCATCTTAAACTTTCTAGTTTTCATTGAGTATTTAAATATTTTGCATATATATTAGTGTAATAAGTTAGAGCAATCAAGGTTGGAAGAAGCTGACCATTACTTCCTTCTCAATACTAGATTCCCACTATTATCTTTTGAAAAATGGATCATGAATAGGTGAAAAATGAAAACAGGAATTAATATGTCCATGTGAAAGAATTATCATTGAAATGACAATTTTTTTTGTAAAAGACTTTCCAAAAGAAAGTATAACTATAAGCACCACGTACAATTATTCACAAGTTTGATGTCATGAAAGGTTACTACTGTTTCATAGGCTTTATCCGACCATCTAATAAATAGTATCCCTATGACCTCTGTTATTTTGTTTCTTTTCTGCCGTCAACTTTAGGAATAATAGGTTGTTATATAATAAGCATTGAACCTTTTAACTATTGGACAAAGCCAACAAGAACAAGATCCTTATTCTGTCTGGTGGAATTAATTAGTTACTGACAGTATGATCTTGATGAAGAAAATCTATTCTAGTTGGTTGACCTCTATATCAGGTTATGTTGAGTTGAACTTGACATGCCAAGGAACATACTTCTATTTTTATGATGTCATGCTTGCATTTGCGAAAGAAAAAGAGCACCTTGAGAACAATTTCTTTTCTCATGATACTTCCAATGAAAATTGAACTGTTTCAGCATATCAATTCTACATTAAAGTTTCATATGAGATTTCTTGCATCTTTATATTTGAGCTCCAATTCATGTTGGACATCATAACTCTAGGAACATTTGCTTTCATTTGTTCATTATATTTATCCGCAGATTAAGATGACTCGCAAGCTTGTTTATGATACCAATTTGTAGATGAATATGATTGTGTATTCATTATGCACAACCTAGGAGAATGAAGTGCAAATAAAAAAAAACAATTGTGTATGCCTCCAGACATTTGTTTAAAGAAGGGTTCAACTCTTCTACTAACTCTCCCTGATTGCTTGTCGATAAAAGTTTCATTTGTTGTTGCCATACAACAATTTTCGTTTCTCTTTGAAACTTTGAAAAATGCATGAAGCTTAGGGTTGTATACCCCTTGGGAGAAATTTCTTGGACTAAGACGGTGCAAATTAGGCTACCTTGGGACAATTTTGTTGAATGGCTCATGATGCCCATGTTTTATCAACATGCATACCTCCTCAGTGGAATGACTCTATATATGTCACCAATAGAAAAAACAAACAAATGAACATACCAAAAGAAGTGAGAAAATGTTATGACTTGTTGGCTCTCTCTCTGGTGTATGAGTAGTTGAAACTTAGATTTGTGAAGAAAAGTAACTAGAGTTGCAGTGTTAGTTCATATACATGTGATATTTGCTTAAGCTGACTTTTCTATTTCAACAGGAATCATGGAATAAAACACATGAAACTGGAGCACTTTCCACCACAGTTGACCCAATTTTTCATCATAATCTAAGAGAAACCAATCAAACTAGTCCAAGTTCAGTTTTGGAACAACCTTTCAAGGAGGAGAAACTCTGTGCCTTTGAATTGAATTATAGACAAGCTGATCTATGCCGTAAGAGATGACAAATCTTCTTCACTATATTTTCTTTCTCATTTCTGATTGTCCAAAAAAATTTTGCCAGGTGTAGCAATGCAACTTAAGCTTCTTGATTCCAACTCAGAAGACACATATTAAGAAGGATCCGAAATGGCTGTCTCAAGTGATGATCTATGTCAAGAAAATAAAGAGATATTGATAGACTTCAACACTGAAGAAACTAGGGACTATTCCTACCTTGTTGAAGTTTTAGATGAGGTGAGCTTAACAGTACTAGACTATAATATCTGGAATTCTTCTGAATATTCTGTCAATTCCTCGGTGTTTGACATGTTAGAGAAGAAATACGGGAAGCAAGAGTCTTGGCACAAATTAGATAGGAAGCTTATGTTTGACATTATAAATTCAGGGTTGAGTAAGATTATGCATTCATTTATGGATATTTACACGACGAAAAGATCTTTGAAAAGAAGGTATCATTTTACGTTGAGGAAGAAATATGGAAGATGCTGGTGAGTCCGAAAAGGGAAGTTTGCAAGGATTTGTCTGATAAAGCACTTGGAAATGGAACACGGTGGTTGAAAGTGGAGGAAGAAGTTAATACCATATGTCGAGAGATAGAAAGCTTTTTGTTTGAGGAGCTAGCTGCAGAATTAGCTTATTATTGAGAATTTATAAAAATGGATTATTTCTGTCGCAAGTTAGTTGAGGCAAAAAATGTAGTGTTTTTATCAACAATTTTAGCATGAAATTATTAGATACAACAATATCAACATATATACCCATTGTAATTCCACAAATAGTATTTTAGTTTTGGTGACTTAAAAGGAAGTGAAAGGTAGCATTATTCTTATCAGATTCATTTCAATTGTATAATATAATTACAAAAGTAGTGTGTTTTTTCTAATAGAAATATACTAGAGGATAGTGCATCAAGTATACAAATTTGGTATTAAAGGTGTCAATGACAAGGTTCGATGGTTATTATGAGACGACTTGGGCTTAGCTCGACTTAGCTCCACTTGCCTCGGCTCAGTTTCAATAAAATTTTGTTTGGCTACTTTACCAACATTTGTTGACAATTCGGACATTTAGCCATAAATTCCACAATATCCTTCTTCATCCCATTCCACTAATAGACTTCCCGCAAATCATGGAACATCTTGGTGGCTCTCGGGTGAATAGAATACCGAGAACTATGAGCTTATGTCAGAATCAGATTTCTCAACTCATCAACATTTGGAACACATAATTGACCTTGATATCAAAGAACACCATATGGAGGCCTATAAAAAGACTAGAATAGCCTGACATAAAAATCTGACGGAACTGCTGTATTTAGGCCTTCACAGACTATTTACCACTTCACGATCCGTGAAGGTGGTCGTGAAAATAGGGGCCACCCTGAACGGTCCCCTGTACAGATCATTCACCCTCCACAGACCATTCAGGCAACCATGGAGGGTTCATGGTTGGGCTAAGGTTCGTGAACCTCCCCGTCAACCCGCCTTACACTTTTCAAACCAAACTCATCAAATTCTAAGGTGTTACACATAAGCTCTTTGAGGAGTCATATCCTGAAAAGGACCGGACAGGATTTAGGAGAAGGATATTTACAAACATGGACTCTATGAAACGACTTTAGAGTAATGAAGGAACTGAAGTTTTCAAAATGCTTTGTAGCCTCCTATTCATAAATGTGGCGCGCTTCGCACTCATGAACAAGATCTACTTAACACGGCTTATCACACATCCTAGGACCTTTTCTAAAACCTTCTGCTCTGAATATCAAGTTTTTCACAACCTAAAGTATACCCTAGACATAACATGATGTATAATATCCCGAGAGGCCCTACACAAGACACTTGACATGCATACAAAATATGATAGAAAATATGAGAAATAAAGGTAACAAGTCCCATATCAATAAAAAAGTTTTGACATAAAGCAAAAGTCTATAATAGTCTTGACAAGCCATCCAGTACATCAAAGAAGTGGTTGGGACGTAACCCGTACACCATGTACAACATCCGAAAAGTAAAAACATATTAAAGCAATGTGACATGGTCCTCAGAATATGATTACTCATAAAGTGTTCTAGTCCTTAGAGTGATTGACTAGCCACAAGCGGGAGGAGAGGAAGCGTCACACCCAACATTAATGAAATATTGTAGGCACAAATATGCATTAGTACATAGAATGTACCAAGTATGAACGATATTCATGAAAACATGAAACATGATCATAATGGACATAATTGAAAACATGATATGCATGACCAAGCTAAGTATAGTAATACATTTAATAAAACATTATAAATCTTGAACATAGCTAATGCATCTTAAAATCATTAGAAAAGCTTCATAAAATCTTTAAGGACAACTTAGTTCATTTCGTGGGATATTAACTTTAACCGATAATAGACCATGTGAGCCATAACATAGAATTCGATGTATCTCCCACATCGAGAAGGGAGAGTCTCCTTACCAAGGTAGAACTCCAAAACATATCATATGGTATATGTGGATCCACTAGGTAGGTCATTTAAGACAATCCTACGGGGGCACATAGTTTGAAACTAGAGGTTTCTACTGGAGACTACCCTATTTGAGCCTCCATCTCAAAGTTCTCTCGATGCTTAGTTAAATTCCATTGGAATTTAACTATAGATTCACATTAGTGAAAGGTTTTCTCACCTATATTTGAATTGTGTTTTAAGGAGCTATTATATGTTTTGATTTTTAAGATGTGGATTGGTGTTGATCATTGCCTTTTCTTTGTTAATGATAATTGATTTTATCTATTCCGTTGGAATTTTGACGTAGCACTAAGAGGACTTTGACATGGAGGCTCAAATAGGATAGTCTCTTGTAGTAACCTCTAGTCCCAAACTAAGTGCCTCCGTAGGATTTTATGAACCAGGTAGTGTACCCTAAGAAATTGAGTTTAAAGATAACTGAAAAGAGAAACTAGGGTTAAACATCTGGAGGTGTTTAGACCAAGGTTTGTACTGTTATACCGTAATTTTCCTATCTTTGGAAAAATCACTTTTGAAATGTTCTAAGTATAAAACAATTTTGAGAAAAATACTTAGAAAAGAGTCACCACTTAATTTTTAAAGAAATTAAGAAAACTTATAATTTTCAAAGATTTAAACAGAAAAAATCATTTGAAAATACCAAAGAGGGTTCGGAGTTCAATTTACACTTCGAGAAGGGTTTAAGCATTCGAAGTGCCCGCTAACATACGGTTGACCTGCGACTTGACTAAAATATGTTTTGACTAATTTTTTAGGAATATGATTTAACATAAAATATATAATAATTTACAATATTCGATTAACTTTGAGAAGATAATTAAATAAATGAACCATTTTATTCTATCTTTTTAGAGGAAGAGACCTAAAA